GACGAATTGCATTGAGAAAGTCAACTGTCAGGGACCTCTCAAGAATACTGAAGAGCAACAATGTCAAGCTGGAAACTAAGGTGTGCCTGATCGGGCCATAGTCTTCGCAATTGCATGCTATGCATTGTAGAACTGGACAGTGATTAGGGATGATAGAAAGAGAATTGATGCCTTTGAGCTGTGCTGGAGAAGAGTGTTGAATATACCATGCACTGCTAGAAGAACAAGCAGGCTTGTCCAGGAGAGGGTGAAGCCAGCCTGCTCCTTGGAATCAAGGATTCTGAAGCTTCGTCTGACATACTTTGGGCATGTTGCAAGGAGGGACTGGTCCTTGAAGAGGGACATCATGTTTGGGAGAGTGGAGGGACAGTGCAGGAAAGGAAGACCCTGGATGAGATGGATTGACTCAGTGATTGAGGTGGCGGGAGTAGGTGTGTCGGAGACAGTGAGGTTGGCACAGGATAGAGCAGGATTTAGGACTCTTGTACATAGGATCACTATGAGTCGCAAGAGACTCGACAGCACCTAACAACAACAACAATGCATACAAACATTTTGTTTATACTAAAGGAGCTATTGTGCATACAAAGCAAGGAAATATGGTTTAACATTAAAGGCATATGCCAAGGTGTAGCTTTTCTTCTTACCTATTCAATCTGTATGCTGAGCATTTTATTCATGAAGCTGGACTCTATGAAGAAGATTATGGCATTGGGATCAGAGGAAGAGTCATCAATAACATTCATTATGCAGATGACACAACCTTGCTTGCTGAAAGTGATGATGACTTGAAGCACTTACTGCAAAAGATCGAAGAATACAAGCTTCAATATGTATTGCATCTCAAGGTCAAAAGACAAAAAGAAAATGAAAATTCACACCACTAGACTGATAGGCAACCTCATGATACATGGAGAAAATACTGAAAATGTCAATGACTTCATCTGATTGGGAACCACAATCATCAGCAGAAGTACCAAAAGTGAGGAGACCAAGAGATATATTGCACTGGGAAAGTCTGCAGTCAGGGACCTCTCCAAACTATTGAAGATCAGTGATGTCAATTTGAGGACTAAGGTGTGCCATGATCTTTTCAGTCACTTGCTACGCATCTGAGAGCTGGACAGTGAATAAGGATGACAGAAGAAGAATTGATGCCTTTGAGTTGTGGTCTTGGAAAAGAGTGCTTACAATCCCACGGATGGCCAAAAGAACAAACAAATATGTCTTGGAGAAGATACAGCCAAAATGTTCCTTGAAGGCAAAGATAATAAAGTTTAATCTCATGTACTTTGGACATGTTGCTAGAAGAGACTATTCCTTGGAAAGGGACATTATGCTCGGAAAGATGGAGGGTCAGCAAAGGAAAGGAAGATCCTAATGAGATGGACTGACATGGTACTGCAGCAACAGGCTTGAATCTGTCAAGAGATTGTGCAGGTGGCACAGGATAGGACAGGGTTCAGATCTGTTATTCATAGGGTCTCTACGAGTTGTATTTGACTTGACAGCACTTAACAACAATACTGTAGTCAAGTGTGCCATAAAATTATGAAAGATTTTTCAGTAGTTCAAGAATTACCTATATGTGACACAGAGGGAGCACATGCTGTTGGGAGAAATGGCATCTAGACTTGCTCACAAAAAACGTCTTGGTTTGTGTTTGGCCTAGGTTATTGGTAATGTAATCAATACTGAAAGCTGTATTCTTTGATGTTCGGTTGTGTTATTGTCTTTTTCCCCCTCCGCAAGTGGGTGTCAGTTGGCCCAGACTTTTTTTCCCAGTCAATAAGGACCCAAGGGTAGAGCATAGTCAACAGCGTTTGCTGGGTGAGTCTTTAAAAGGGCCTGTGGCCCTCTGGCCAGATTTATTAATATGAGAATGAACATTCTTTAAGTGATATGGCAGTCATTTGTCTTTTTGCCATACTGAATAACTTGGAGCTGCCCATTGTGCCATGATGGTAACCCATCATGGACAGAGTTTGGAGGAGCTTCCAGACTGATTCAGATTTGTAAAAAGGAGTGGCATCCACTTCCTAACCCAGGCACCTCTGGAAACTATAAACATAAAGAAATTACATTAATTATAGAACAGAGTTCAGGTCTTTTGTTCATAGAGTCCCTGTAAGTTGTATTTGACTTGACAACACTCAAACTGAGACTAGTGTTGTTATATTTTGGAGGAACATTCTTCTACTTTGTACATTACGCCTTGTCAATTTGCTGTACTGAGGTAATCTGGGTTTGCTGTGATGCTGAACCTGTGCCATTGGAATATCAAGTACCATAATGGTTAACCAATGTGGACGGTGTTTGGTGGAGCTCCAAGTTATAGGACAGGTTTGGAAGCAGGAGTGGCATCCACTTCCTAAACCACATGCCTATGAAAAGTCTATGATCATGGAGAAATTACGATAGTTATAGAAAGACATTATATCTTTTGTTCATGGAGTCTTTCTGAGTCGTGCTCAACTTGATGGTAATCAACAACAATAATACAACAGACTCTCTCAGCACAGGGTTGCTGCAAATGTTCTATTTGTGGAAAATGAATAACAGCAATGTCCTGTCTGAGAAGGGCAATAAAATGAGTTATGCTTATTCATTTAATTACTTGAAATTAAAATCAGCATTTTACTCATGCTATTTCATTTGTGTATAAATAATTGAAACAATTCTTAATTTTGTTGTTGATTTGAGTTTTAGGGGATGAGTTTTAGGGTGCTTACCCTCTGCCAGTCATTGGTGGGATTTTTATCTGATTTATTTTGGTGAATTCTCACTCAGTCCCTACATGTTAGATTCAGATAATACTCCCTAGTTCTTAGATGAGGATATTGAGACTTTCTGTGCTCAAGGACCTTGCTGAGATTCCCCTAAGTCTTAAAGTGTAGAGATGTGAAAACAAGTGTCTCTCTCGGGAGATCCACCTCTTCCAGAGTGGTCTGGATTCTGTGAGTCAGCCTGTCCCAGGGGCGGGGGAGTCTCATGCCCCAGCCCAGATTTTTGTTTGTTTTCATTCTGAGCTGGGCATGGGATCTTGCATCTCCAAGTGGTTTCCAAATGATGCTGTCTGTTGTCCCTGGGCAGAGACCCTCCTTATGATAATTGCTGTGTCACATCGCATTTGTAAAAGCTAGTGTAAGCACCTGCTTGAATGAAATGACTGAGGCTGGAATTGGCCACTGTGGTTGGGCCCATGCTCCAAGGTGTTTTTGCACCCTCTTTTCTGAGAGCCTACTGTCATGAGGCAGAGCTAATTGACCTGTGGTAGGTTCTATTCTGGTATTCCCTGGGCTGCTCGACATTTCCGAGAACACAGTTGAACTGCAGTGCTAAAAAAAAATAAAAACAGTATACCACCACCGCACTTGTACTAACGAGGCGGTTTTCAAATCCAGTACTTTTCCATCAGTGCCATATGTTTTCAAGCTGTGCTTTTATCGTTGCCATTGGTCTCAGTGAGACCTAGTAGTGCATTCAGATAATAGATAAATACCTTCAAATGAGCGCATAGTGATCGTGAAGAGAAACTTGCAAATACTGAGTTATGCCTGTGGCCTACTAACTAATTAAGCAACAACAAAAAACTCAGGTAATTCTATGAGGTGAAAGAAGTGATATTTAAGTTTCCCGATTATGGTCACTTTGAAAAACAGGCACTTTGAGAACAGATTTTGTGTTCCTCAGCCTTTTGACTGATTGGATTTCACCCGAATTAAAATTCTCAAGGTGCCTTTGAAACCTGAAATAGAGCCGATTTACTTGTTGATAGTCTGCTGAGAAGCCTCCTGAGCTAGTTCAGGAGAATGGCTTTGGTGCCTTACTTTCTGCCACTAAATAGCAAAGATAACAGCCCAGGTACGAATCCACTAGTGAAATTCAAGACGGATGAATCCAGGGAAAGCCTCCATCCAAGTGACTGGGCCGGAGAATGGCTGCAGTGCCTCTGCTATTTAAAAAAAAAAATAATAATAATAATAAATAGTACAGTAGTATGTGGAATTGTTTAAAGGAAAGTAGCAGAGCTATGTGGGGCCCCTCGGCGCCTCTTTCCAAACACCTTAGGATCAATTCATGAGGGAGAACGTTAAAAAAAAAAAAAAGATTAATTAACCTGTTGACTTCATGGGAAGTGTAACAATGGTTTCCTTCGCATTTGAATGGAGTGCACTGCGCCTCTGCAGGCCTGTGCTTCACTCAGACCGACCTCCAAAACCAGAGTCTTTCCAAGCCACGGCAAGGTGTTCTCATGGGCTTCTGTAACTCAGCACACCAAGCACACTGGTTTCCACATCAATAACCCGCCTGCAGGAAGAGAACCTGCATGGAGAGCAACAGTGGGGGGCTTTTTCTCAGACACCCATACCCTACCACCACCAGGCTGGGAGCCCAGGCAATTCTGGGACCGTGTACATGCTGTTGCTTTGAGCTTCTTCTCTTCAGCTCCAGGGTCTGGCAGAACCAAGGAAACAGACCTATTCCTCCAGGAATGGGGTCCAAAGGGATGCTTTGGAGGATTTCGTTCCTCCACTGTCCTTCATCCGTGGCGGCCTACAGGTGTTTATCAGTGTGGGCAAAGCGAGATGCCAAGAAGGGACCCCTGTTGGAAAGCCAGGTGCTCCCCAGAGCAGAGGCGGAGACTCAGTGGAGGTGCGTGCGCGCCTGGAGCGGGAGCGCCAGACGCGCCTGCGGCCCTGCAACGGGTGCCCTATGGGCCCAGACACTGAGAGCTCACGGCCCGGGCTGCGCACGCGGGGATCGCAGGGCGCGCGGAGGGCGTCCGGGTAGGGCTGAGCTTGGCCCTTGCGGCGGGCGGGGACTCCGGCCAGGGCGTGCCAGCCGCTGCAGTTGGCTGGCGCGCGGCCAATCCCAGGCCATGCCATCAGAGCGCGGCCGGGCCGCCCGGCGCGAAGAGAGCTGGATGCCAGGCTGGAGCCCTGGCTGCCGGCCGCAGGTCCGTGGGCTGCCCTGAGGTCCCGGCGTGGGGAGAGGCGGCATGGCTTCTGTGTTCATGTGCGGAGTGGAGGACCTGGTGCTCGGCGGAAGCCGCCTGGTGTGGAACTTGACAGTGTCCACGCTGCGGAGATGGTACACCGAGCGCCTACGCGCTTGCCACCAGGCGCTCCGAGCGTGGTGCGGGCTGCGGGACGTGTACCAGGTGAGCGGGCGCGGGCAGGGGCAGGGCTCCCACCTGTGTGACTCTATCCTGTCCTTTCACCTCTCTTTCTACTCCTCGCGGATGCTCAGCTCTTGGGGCCAGTGCTCAACAGCTGCAGGTAACTTGCCTGAGAAAGCTGGTGGGTTTTGCCCGCCGGCCCAGGGAGCTCTGTGAGTTAGTGCCTGCCTGTGCAGACGTGTTTTTGAGGGATGCTGTGCTAAGTTCTCAACTTATGAAGCAGTGGCTATGGAGCAGAGGGAGGGAACTTTGACATTGCGATGGTCCCTGCTTCATTTCTCTGGGACAGGGTGGGCATTTCAGGGCCGCAGCTTCATGCCAGTGTTCTTCCACTGGGGCTGAGTGCATTTGCATTCTTCCACTTGATTTTTCCAGCAGACAGCCCGAGCTTGCTCAGGAGAGCCAGGAAAAGCTGATTGTGTGTCTCCTGGCTTTGGGAAGGGAGGACCGCAAATTCTGAACACTTTGCAGGAGGATGATGGACTGGGAGGGGAGGGATGGCCTGGGCAAACGCTGGAATGCTTACGTGTGGATTTGCTCGCTGTCACACAACACAGGCTCTTTATTTCTCTGTTCCTTCCCATCCTGCAGGCAAAAAATGCAGCAACTTTGTTCAACTGTGAAGCTGTGCATCCTCCCTGGGGCTGCAGCTTGCCAGGATATATATTTATTTATTTATTTATTTTAAATAACAGTAGTTAAGTGGATTTCAAAATGCAGTGCTTTGGCTGTTAATATTTTTTTCCGTTTAGAGGGGGGAAAGACTACATTGCATTTAGGAAAATTATATCGCATGTTTATTATGAAAATTGGTTATCCTATATTCTTTCTTACAAAATAGAGTGGCTCTGCCATTCCCATGAGGTGGTAATTTTTTTTTTTTCTTTCAATGTGTTGCTGTCAGTGTGTTTGTGATGAAACACCTGGCTTGACAGATTGCAGTCTTCCATCAACAAGGCAAAATTAAAAGGCCATGCCTAAGATTGAGTAAAGAAGTCTAAAGAACCCGTGTCGTCTATCCTTACTTGGCAGGAGAGAGACCATGATCACGAAGGTGGTTTTCCCAGCATGAAGCTCATCCATTGCTTTCTGGATGTGCTGACCCCTGTAATTTCCCCAAATGTGGGAAACAATGCATAATTTTTATTAGTTGAGGACTGCATTCTCACTTTCCCCTATTAAAAAAGAAAAAAAATAAGAACCCATGTCCTCTTGCCATCCTGGGGAAGAGAACAAGTCACATTGTTGGCTTCCACTTTTGCAACTCTTATTTTGTGTAACATGTATGTGAATGTCTTGCATTTTGAAACAGAATCCAGAAGTTAGCTTGAAACATGAAGTAGCACTAGGAACTTGGGTTGTTAGAGAGCTGTGGGTACACCCCATCTGGCCACATGACATAGCTCACCTGGCTTTTTAGAGACATTTGGGAAATCCCTGCACAGCTTGGTTGGTAGTGAAAGTGGTGGCTCTCATATATTATCTCTTCTTTTTAATGTTTGAAAACTTTCAAGAAGGAAATGCAAATATTGTCACCAGGTAAATTGTTTCTGTGCCAAGGATTCGGGCCACTTATGCCTCAACATTAGTGCATTGCTGACCACTTCTGGAGGTACCAGAAACATGGGAAACCCTGGGCTCTGTATAAGGTTAAGCAATGATTATTTTTATGCCAAACAGCAATTTTATGGACTAACTTACTAAGATATTTCTTTTTCTCTGCTATCAGTGGTTAATAACTCAGCCAGTACCCTCTTGTAATAATAAGAAAGAGCACTTAAAATAATGATTCCCTCTTTAGGGATAGTGAATTGTAAGTGCCTTTCACAAAGTCAAGTCCAATTCATAGCGGCCTCTGTCAGGGCTCAGAGGCTGCACATGTTTAAGGGAAGACACTGCCTCACCCTTCTTCCTCAGAGCAGCTAGTTGATTCAAACTGCCTGCTTTTCTATTAGCAGCCTATTAGCTTTACTATGGTGCACCACACTGCCGGGACTCCTTAAGCAGAAGAGATTTATCTTTAAGTTTGAAGTTTTCCATATCCTCAGAAAAATAAGACTTTCAAAACCTGGGAATCCTATGGAATTCTTAATTGCAGTGTATAATTAGTATTTTTTTTTTTGCAAAACAACATATTTTTTATTTTTATTTGACATGTTTATTTAGTTTGATGAAAATATGCATAGGAAAATACACACCATATGTGCACAATTCACTGACACTGATTACACGTTTTAAGGGTGCCACCTTCTCAGTATCCCTTTCCAAATCTTCTGAGCGCTGTTAGAAGAAGCTCCGAATCTCACCCCTCCAGCTTCTATCCTCAGTTTGATCACCTAGATAATTCTTTAAAGAAAACAATGTTCAGGGCAGACTCTTTATGTGCTTAAATATTGAGTTAGAAACAGTGACTGATATTGAGAGGTAGTAAAATAAAATATACCTTACACACAAGTTAAGTAGACGTAGTGATGGTGTCTACCTCTGCCTGCATGTAGCTATGGATTCATTATTTAGCCTGCGTGTAGCTATGGATTCATTATTTAATCTTATTATACTTTTTTCCTTATAACATTGGAAATATAATAGTGCTAATTACAGAGAGTTGCTAAGAGATTTAATTGACATGTAAGATATTTAGCACAATGCCTAGACCTTAGGAAACATCCAGTAAATTATCTTTTCTGTCAGTCAAATTTTAATTTTTAATGTGACAGGAAGGCTCACCTACAAAAAAAAAAGAAGCAAGTTTTGATCTAACCAAGGAGATGTCCAGCAGTAGCATGAACTTCACACATGGCTTTGACCACTGTGCTCGTCCCCCTGATTTTGTCAGCTGTGATCTTACTCATGTGTTGACTTGACCCTTAACTGATTTCTTTCCTCATGACAGTGCATAGTGCTAGCAATTCCAGCCTTTACATTGAATTCTGAAACCACCAAATGAGTAGAGTTTTTCACACCCACCAACTATGAAAAAGTCCTAGGTTTCACTCAATAGAACAACGAAGTACTATGTTTACACTCAGTGCTGAGCACTAATTAATATGGGATTATGTTGTAATCTCACATTCTCCATGGGAGTTGCATTCCCTCCCCCCAGAGGGCTGAAAATTGTCCCCTGGAACAGGGTAGGGGGTAGTTAGAAAGCTTTCTCTTTGGGAGTTCTGGTGGCACGGGCTAGAGGGAGTTATGTGCTTGACTAAAACTGATCAAAACCACCAGCAGCTTCCCCAGAGAAAGCAGGTCAGTCTCCTCTCAGGTAATTTACAGCCTCAAAAAATCCTGGAGGGTCAACGATGGATTGGTTCCAACTTGATGGCAGGGTGTGTGAGTGTGAGTTTTGTGTTTACATACAGTGTGTTAACAAATATACAGTTTATCAGAGGCATTAAAATTTTAAGGGCTTGATAAAATAGAAAGGTTAACGAAGACTGGGTCACAATGATCAGCTTCATCAGTAAGCGAGAGGGGAGCCATTTTTCCAAACCAGGCATGAGAACACCACCGCTCATTGCTGCCAAATGACTAGAGAAAGTAAGTTACTTGGTTAAGATGCAGCTAGTAATGACCACTTGTTGTTGTGTACTGTCAAGTCAGAACTGACCCAGAGCTGACCTTCTGGCAGGTTTTCACAGGCAGTTATTCACAAAGAAGGTGATTTCCCATCTTTCTTCTATAGGGCAGCTGGTGGCCTCGAACTGCCTGCCTTTGGGAACACAGTGCAATTTATTGCCACAAGGCCACCATTTGAATCTCAAACCTAGTGTGTTTTAAAGATAATAACTAGTTCTTTTACAAGGTGATTACAAAGATTAATGTGTGAAAGTTTTTGTAAGGACTTGGGCCACAGTGATTTGAGTTGAGGGCCAGTGGGCCTGTCTTAGCGATGCCCACCATACTGTTGCCCAGTTCTGGATTGAAGAGGGGTGTATCCTCCTGTACTGCTGAGACCACTGGTCTGTGAACTACAAACACTACAGATTGTACTGAACTCAAGTGGGGTTTTGTCTTAATGATTTAAAGACATTATTTTTCTTGCTACTAGCCTGAATCATCTTGTTTGTAAGGAAATCCAGTGCCCACTCACTCTAGGGAGAGATCAGGGTATGGGGGAGCTATCTATTACATAAAATACCTGACGGCCCTGGGGGGTTTGTTTATTCATATACTGTAGATGAAATAAGATATCCACCTTTTCACATCTGGCAACAGCATGATTGCCTGGTTAGCAAAACTAAGAAAGCATCCTTTCTTTGGATTGAACACTTCCTCCACTTCTCAAAGTTGGAGAGGTAAGGGACTTAACTTGCCAACAGCCATGAATAATTAAAATACTGACTGTAAGGAATTTCTGTGTAGTAATGTTACTAAATAAAAAGCAGGCTGTGCTTAAGCTTCCTTTTAAAAAAGGAGTGCTTTATGAGTTTAAGTTTGAGTTGGGTAAAAGTAATAGACATGGACACTCACTTTCAGGTACCAAACCCTCTATCATCAGATCACTTCCAGGTCATAGCAACTCTGTTAAAACAACAGAACAAGCCACCTCATTGCTTTCCCACTGAGTCAGGACCAACTCAGAGCTGACCCCGTGGTGGGCTTTTACAGGCTTATGAATTATACAAGGGGAGACTGCCCATCTTTCTGCCTCAGAGCAAATAATAGAGCCCCGACTTGGACTACAGCTGGTGCTTCCACCACTCCCTGCAAACCTTATGTGGTTACCTCAAGTGCCATTGGCCTGTCTACACCTCAAAGGGACCCTGTGAACCGCAGATTGGGATCTTGCCCTTATAGTGTCTGCCATGCCCAAGCCTGGTATTGGTCGATCTCTTGAAGGCCACTGTGGTGATCCGTCTTCACGAGGGTCTTCTTCTCTTTCACGGACCTTTCTCAGCATGATGTCATTTTCCAGGAACTAGCCTCTCCTGATAACAAGTTCAAAGGGTGTAAGATGACGTTTCACTGCCTTTGCCTCTTAG